AGACAGACAGACAGACAGACAGACAGACAGACAGACAGACAGACAGACAGACAGAGAAAGCGTCTCACCTTCCTACTACAGTTCTCCAGTATAATGTAGACATTGTTGTCATCCTCGAAGTAACTGTTGAACTCCACTACATGGCGGTGTTTGAGGTTTTTCTGCAGCTGAACTTCTCGTAAGATCTGGGAATTGAAAAAAGACACAACACGTCAAATAAGGGAACAAATTCATAACACATTATAAACGGACAATAAATTTAAAATTTAAAACTTAACAGCCTCCAATGCTGGAAACCTTGGTTAGATTCCCGTTTGAAGAGAATGTTTAACGAGTGTCTCAAATATTTCTTCTAGGGCGTGCGTTGTATCCCTCTCAGCCCAGTTTGGGCCCCCGATTTTTTTTCTAACGAGTTTTACGGCACTTGCAACAATATTAGGTCATATAAATGCTGAAGGTTAGAGGCGTTACAAAGGAGCAACAAACACAAAAAAGAAGAAGGTGAGATAAAGACGATAGATGCTTAATTGGAAAGAAGGAGCAAACCACACCAGAGCACCCGCCAACCACTCACAGGCCCCGGCAGGGTTGAAGCCCACCTCCAAACGCGACGTACATCTCGTATTATTTCTTCTATCCACTGTCTGTATCTTTTTCTATGAAATGATGCTACAACTGCTCTTTTTGTTGCAGTCTACACCTCTCAACACCTCCCCCCACCCCACACCCCACCACCCTTTCCCCTTTTTTCTTTCAAAACTTAGCTCTTCGCAAGTCGCCAAGCGACCAACTTTTTCCCCCGCTTCCCAATTTAAAAAAAAAAATTTGAAAAGTTTATCTTTTTTTCAATGGAAAAAAAAACCGCCTGTAAAATCGCATGTTTCCTCCACAGTCACACGACATGTTATCAACAAACAGAGGCTGTGACGTCAGTGTGGACAAACAGTTACGCAGTGGGCAAACACAGGCAGGCGGGCGGGCACATCCCCGTCCTCGGTCGCATCCCCTGCCCAACGTTCGAGGTGAAACAAGTCGTCCTCCAGATCGCCAACGCCGCTTTGCAGTACACTTTGCAGTACGGACTTCCCATCCAACCGTCTGGCTCCAAACCAGTACGGTCCAGTCCGGCAAAACAAACTCGCAACGACCCACTCATATAATAACGTCGTACGCTACGTGGGTACGAATTAAATTTTCATATATTATTTGGAGTTCGATCCAATGACCTAGTCATGGAAGTTTGAAAGCTGTTTTGGGCAGTTCTGTTCTACTTCTCGTTTGAAAAAAAAACACCAAAAAAACGACGGCAGGCCCCCTCCCCCTCATATTCTTTTCTTTGGTAAATGAGCCCCTTTTCCACAAAGACAAGAGTCTTTAATTGCTTTTTCGAGAAAAACAGCTCCAACATGACAAGAATCAGATAGAGTTAGAACCGGACAGACAGACAGACAGACAGACAGACAGACAGACAGACAGACAGACAGACAGAC